TGACACTAATGGTGGGTTCCTCTCTCTCTCTCACATAATTTGCTTGCATGGTGATGTCTCAAATCATTGGATTGCATGGTGCTGATCCCAAGGGATTACATCCTTCACATCTCCACTCTCTCTCACATCATTTGTATGGTGATTGCTTCAATGAACTGCATTTTTCAAAATCCAAATGAATAATAGCATTCTACATTCACCTATTAAGATTACATCTTTTTTTGTTAGTTAGAAATCCTTCTTCCCTATCATGGATTTGTTGCTGATTTTTACAGGTGATCTTCTTGATGCTGGTATAAATCGTAGTCCTAGTGCTTACCTCAATAACCCAGCAGAGGAACGGAAGAAATACAAGTATAATGTCGACAAGGAAATGACACTCCTGAAGTTTGTAGATGCTGAGTGGGGCCCTGTTGGAACTTTTAACTGGTTTCCCACCCATGGGACCTCAATGAGCCGTACAAATTCTTTAATAAGTGGCGACAATAAAGGGGCGGCTGCTCGTTTTATGGAAGACTGGTATGAACAAAATCAGAAAAGAGCTCAAAGGATGCATTCCAGTTTGCTTGGCCTCAGCCTTAATCAAATTAGTGAGATCCCTAGAAGAGTTTCCTGGATGATCTCCGATCAGAATGCAAATCGTAAGCTTGTGTAGATTGTTTTCTTCAATTTCTTTTTTGTATGTTAATTTTGTGATTGTTTTCTCCAATGAATTATGGGAAAACCATAGTGGGGATCATCGTCATCCACTAAAATGGTCACTGATAGAGAGGGAGTGGCCCAACTGTGAAAGGTATGATACCAGTGGTGCGTTCCACTCTCTCTTCTCCATCAGCTGTCAGCATTTCATTGGACAATAATGCTGCATTGGACTACAGAAATAGTTGGACATAATATGACTTTCCATAGTCCATTGAATTGTGGTGCGTTTTCTGTATTCACTGGATTATAATATGCAATCCCATGAATAAATATATGGTACAATGGGTGGCCAAAGAGAGTTATTTTCATTGTTCATCGTTTGAAGATTTATATACAAGTGGTGTTTTATGCAGATAAGGAGTTAATTGAGCTTGCGGGTTCTTTTCAAAGTCCAGGTGGGAGGCCAGTAACAAAGTTGCTTGGTGTCTCTCAGCGGATTCGGAATTCCCTGAAGATGAGTGGCCATCCAAGCTTTGTCTCCGCATTTTGCCAGTCTAATGTTGGGGATGTGAGCCCAAATGTTCTCGGTGCTTTTTGCAATGACACTGGGTTACCTTGCGATTTCAATCACAGTACCTGCAATGGAAAAAATGAGTTATGCTATGGCCGTGGTCCAGGGTAACAACCAACTAGAATTATCATAGTCTTATGGACCATGCTATATGGTATTCCAGAACTATATCTGTCGTCTGTTCTTACTAACTGGTGGACATTAATTGGGGTGGGGTTTATGTGGATGATTGCTTGGGAATGATTAATATCCAACTATCCCTCAGTGGAAATGGATGATGGATTTAACCTTGGTGTACCATATGCCATGGTCCTTTGGAGGATGGTGTACTTCCCATAAGTAATTGCAACTATTAACCAAAACAAAAAAAAAGCTTGACCACCCTGTATTCCTGTAGGAATGCATTTGTATGTTTTTTGTTAATTTTTTAAATTGCTTATTGTAAGTTTGTTGTTCAGCTATCCTGATGAATTTGAAAGCACTCGGATAATTGGCGAGAGGCAATTCAGAAAAGCAGTTGATTTATTCAATACGGCATCTGAACAGTTGAAAGGGAAAGTTGAATATCGACACACATATGTGGATTTCTCCAAACTTGAGGTTAGTCTCTCAGGAGGGAATGGCAAGCAAGAGGTTGCTAAAACATGTCCAGCTGCTATGGGTTTTGCTTTTGCTGCTGGAACAACTGATGGACCAGGAGCTTTCGATTTTAAGCAAGGGGATGATAAGGCAAGGATGATAAATTGAGGATAATAATTACTTTGGATAAGTTTTTGGGATTTAATCGGTTAGTTATGAATAGATAGTTGTTCTGCTCTAACTCAATTTATCTCTTTCTTAAGGAGGTTTTAATTCTTGGTTATTGACTAGAAATAACTAGCTGTTGTGGTCAAACTTTCTTTCTGGGGGACTTTTATTTGTTGGTTGTGAATAGATGGTTGCCCTTATCTAATTCAATAGAAATACCTTTTGGGTATTTTATTTGTTTAATAGATGGTTCTTTCCCTTTTCCTTCCAACTTCAGCTCATAGACTTCTATGTTATCTTTTTCAAACTGGTGGGAGATATGGACCCAAATAAAGTTGTAAACATTTTATGGTAAATTCTGTTTTGGTCTTAATTTTTTTAGGGAAATCCTTTTTGGAAGCTGGTGAGGAATGTACTGAAAACACCAGATAAGGAGCAAGTTGATTGTCAGCAGCCAAAACCTATATTACTTGACACAGGAGAAATGAAGCGGCCATATGACTGGGCGGTGAGCCTCTACATTTTCCTTGTTTTCTTTCATGAGAAAGTGGTTTGGTGATAAACATTATGCATATAAATTGCATTGATGTAAATCTAGTATAATTTGTTAGGTGAGGAAAATTATGCTATAACTTAGATTGATGTAGTTTTTGTGTGCGTGTGTGTGTGTATGCGTGTATGTGTTTTGGTGGTTGAGAAGAAAAAGGAGAAAAAAAGGGGGCACGGGCTGGTTTGCATCACTAAAATGGTCAAACAACCTAAAAAATCAATGAGGTGGTTAAATCAGCCAAATTAGCAACAAAGTGGTAACTTTGTAAAATTTATTTTACTTAGATATCTCCTTGCCTATATTGTTAAAGATAACCGAACTGCCCCTACCTTTTGTTTAGCCTCAATTCAATGAAACAGGGCCCATGATGTAAATACTCTCAGTTTGTTAAGGGTCACAAACTAGGAACAAGTTGTTTCAACAAAAAAAATTCCTTTTCCCTAGCCATGAGCAAATGGGGGTACACTCGTCATTTGGCTCAGCCACTGACCTTGAGTCCAATGATAAAACTGCCACTCCTTGCTCGGGTTTACAAGCTAAGAACAAGATATTTCAAAATACAAGATGCTTTCCTCATTCTAACCCTAAAGAAGCAAGGGTAGACTTGTCATTTGGCTATGGGCATTTGAGCCAAATGACCCTGTCTTTCAAGATTGGGAACTGGTGTATCTAACCCTGAACAAGCTGGGGTAGACCCATCATTTGTATCAAGCCACTTAAATTGAGTCAAATGATGAAGCTACCCTCGATGCTAGGTTTAGGAACCCAGAACAAGATCTTTCAATTAAAAAACATGTTTCATTGTTCCTAAAGTTGAAATAAGTGGGAGGAGACTCGTCATTTGGCTTGTGCCACCTTGCTCCTAACCAAATGATGAAATTATTCCTTCTTGTTCAGTTTATAGGAACATGGAAATAGAGATTTTAATAAGAAAAGCATGTGTTGGGTTTCTAACCTTGTGCAAACAGCATATTTTTGTCATTGGGCCAGATAAATGGAGCCAATTACTAACACGCCCTTACTTGTTCCGGGTTTCATACTCAAAACATAGCAGTTTGGGCATTTTTATTAAAATGGTTGAGGGTGTAGCTAAGTGAAATGAATTCAATAAACTGCCCACTCTATTGCTAAAGTGGATGATCTAACCATGTCAATGATTTTTTTAATGTGGTTTGACCATTTTAGTGATATCTTCTCGTATCTTTTTTCTTTTAATAAAAGTAATAGTGTTCTGATGTTTAAGCATGCTACTTTCATCACATTACGTTAATTAAATCTCCCCTAATCAAGAATAGGGCATTCTAAAATGAAATCCAAGCCAACACCCTAGGGTTATGTAGTGACGGATACCACCGTGCAACACTGCATAAATGTTTGCTATGGGGATGTTTCTATAACCTTCCCCTTTGTCGTCAAAATACAAGCTAACAAGTTAATGGAATCCCTATGCCATTCATTAATGAATTTTACCTATAAGCTTATCTTCCTAGGGTGAACACGAGAAATTGTTGGTGCATCCCAGTAGTGGATTCTTGGATATTAACTTTTCTGTGGTAAATCCTGTGGAACCCACTGCAGTCGACCTTTATCGATCCGTCAGGGGAAGAGATGGTGTTTGCAGCCTCGGACTACCATATGGCATAAGCATGTTATACTTTCCTTTATTGCCCACCTAAAATATAGTGATGAACGTTTACAATTTCTACATGTTACTTCTTTCCTTTGGGCTTCATTTGTTCTGATTTTTATGTTAAAGATCATATGATCTACAATTATTTGCTCTTTTATATACTTACTGATATAAACACAAAAAATGTTTCATAGGAAGTCTATCTAATTTTTTGTTGCAGCCCTCCATACTCCCCATACAAATACTCAGGATTGGGCAGATGGTCATTCTCTGTGTTCCTGGAGGTATTTTGTCTAGACTTTATTACTTGCAAAGGGTACACCCTTCTGTCTGTGTGTGTGCATGTGTGTGTGTGTGAGAGAGAGAGATCTATAAATTCCCCCTATATCCTTTTGTTTTCAATAAAAGTCAATTATGAAAAAAGAGGATTATGATATCTTCTAAATCAATATCTTGCAGAGTTCACAACAATGGCTGGGAGACGCCTCCGTGATGCAGTTAAGACAGCCCTAATAAATGGTGGGAATGGAGTCTTTGATGGCAATATGCATGTCGTGATTGCAGGGCTCACTAACTCCTACTCACAATATGTGACCACCTTGGAGGAGTACCAGATTCAGAGATACGAGGTTTGTCTCTCTCTCTCTCTCTCTCTCTCTCTCTCTCTCTCTCTATCTATCTATCTATCTATTTGCACACATATTGATGGGTTCTTTTGTTTCCTTTTCTTCTCATCGTTGGGATTTTCAACCAGTTTAACTGGATTGAAAAATGACCTTCCTCTACAAGGGATTTGAGGGATCGTCTACTATATGATACAAACACTACTTGGTTGAGTATTTATCTTTAAAAAAAAAAGGAAAGAATCATATGGTTGAGATGAACTGTTTCTCCACTGAAGCCGGACATAACTGACTTTGACGTATTTGAGCGGAGAATGACTCATCTCAACTATCCATTGCTGATCATTGACTGTTGATTTCTTCATGCATTACAGTATTTATATGCTGCATACATCATGCTATGCTTTCCCCCCCTATAGCAATCACCAGTTTGGCATAAAAACGTAAGTTCAGAAAAACTGTCAGCAAGTCAAGCATGTCATCGGTGGGTTTAGCCCATCCAGTTGTGATGACCAGTATGGGTACTTGGTCAAGATTGGCTGATATGGTTAAATATCAATAAGTTGACCAATGCATAATAGCATAAGGCCGATCTATTGGGTTCTACTTTTCCAAAAGTAAACCATTTTATATCCCTCCTAAATATGTTCAATTCATTATTATTGAAAAACATCCCTTGATATAGCTACTATAAATCTTTTTGTTGAAATTCTATTAATGGATACACAATAAATAAAAAATATTATGCCTGTTCTATTTTCCCTATTTCATATCCACTATCCAGTAATATCTCCAAGACCATTATCCATCAGTATTGGCCCCGCTCCATTTGGGTCTTTATTACAGTTTTCTTTAACCTTGTTTAACTCTCTCTCTCTCTCTCATGATCTTGATGTCAATATCTCTCGACATACACACACCAAATAAATTATATAACTCTATTGAGTCCTTTGTCTTCTGGTCATTTAAATTTTCTTACTTGATTTATTGCAATCGCTATGAACTACCATCGAAAGATAATTTACCAACTCGCATTTGAGGGTTGGAATTATTTAACATCTCTTCCTACCATCAAAGGGACCTTTATCAAATTGCACCCAAGAGATGAACTACTTAATCAAATTATGTTTTTTAATATAATTTCAGATAGACTTTCTTGTGATCAAGTTTCAAATAGCCCATCAAATGATACATCATCTGGGTTTTGAAACTTACCAAATCAAGTGAAATGCTAAATAGTTAAAACTCTTTGGAGTGATTTGATAAATTTTCCAATTATACCACACTCTTCCTCTCTGTCTAACCATCCCATGAACAATTCCCAGGGAGCCTCAACACTCTATGGCCCACACACCCTCAGCGCCTACATTCAAGAGTTCAACAAGCTCGCCACTGCTCTAACAAGCGGCCATCCCGCAAGTCCCGGCCCCCAACCCCCTGACCTCCTTAACAAACAAATCAGTCTCCTTCCCCCTGTCGTAGTCGACATGACCCCTCCTGGCACAAGCTTTGGCGATATGGACACAGATGTCCCGAAAAATGCCTCATTTAAGAGAGGTGACAAAGTGGTGGCTTCGTTTTGGTCAGCTTGTCCTAGAAATGATCTCTTAACTGAGGGGTCCTTTGCAGTGGTGGAGAAGCTTAGTGAGACGGACAATAAAACTTGGGTTCCATCTTATGATGATGATGATTTTTGCTTAAGGTTCAAGTGGGGGAGACCATCCAGGTTTAGTACGCATAGCTATGCGACATTGGAATGGTATATACGACAAAATGCGGTGCCAGGGGTCTATAGATTAACACACTATGGGGCAGCAAAGAGGATATTCGGATCGATCCATCATTTTACAGGGTCATCTAGCGCTTTTGTCGTCGTTTAGCGAGAGGATTTGGAAGTTGGTGCCAAATTTGTATGTTATAGATATTGCTCTTGCTCAAGCATGCTTAATTGTGTAGGTTTAATCATGTTGCTACTGATATGTGGAATTTTAATGTGATCTGGTGTATATAGTATTGGAATGCAATGTGTCCTGGCCCCTCTCTCTCTCTCTGGCACCTTGTGGTGTGGTGCTTTTGATGAAGAGGTCAATTTATGCCGTTTTACTCTCTCTCACACACGCACATGGACAGTCTTTCTCTTTACCCATCAACTGGAAAGACCAGTCAATTCAATCTCTCTCTCAACCTTTTCCTTCTCACCCCTCTGTGGTCTCTTCCCCTTCCAAGCAATCTCTATCACCTCTCCTTATCTCACAAATTCTCCACTGCCCTTCAGTCCAAAAGGGATTGGTTTCTTCTTATTATTATTATGGTGGGATGGAATGGCCCTAAACCAAAACTCCATAGAGGTTTTAGGGTTATATTGTGTTTTGCTCTGGGTTGTACAGAATATGAAAACTGCAATAGAAATGGTTGTCATAGGAACAAATCCCTTATGAATTGGCTTTTGCAAGTGAGGGGCTTATGGAACCCAAGGTAACATTCTCCTTCTAAATGGTGGGTGATTTGAGAAGACTTGAAGATAACAAATCCCCAAGAGGAATTCCAGGGCCATAAATGGCACCCAGATGGCTGGACTTTTGGGGCTTGTTTTGATCAAATCTCCCAAATCCATATTGAAATTATCTAGAATTTGGAGGGATTGCTCTTACACTGAACCTCTTTGGTATCTATATATGTACATAGTAATATAACAAAACAATATTCAAAAGTCATGTCAGGGTTATTTGTTTGAACTATGTATTCAAATATATTCTTTTCTTTTTAATGAACAATCACAAAATAAAATAAAATAAAATAAAATAAAAATGAAAATACACCCAAAAAAGTGCTTTTTAACCTCTATCTTAGTGAGATGCTTAGATATAAGCTTTAGGTTTTTTTTTTTTGAGATAATTTTATTATCATTAAATTAACAATGTTAAAAAAATATATATTTTTTAATTGGTAAAGGCTTAAATCTTGAAATTCACAAAATAGATAGTCTAGATTCATTTTTTTAAAAGGACTTATTTGGCCAACAATTGAATTTTTTTTTTTAAAAGATCGATTATTGGGATGAAAGAGTATTTGTGCAAAATTCAGAGTTATACAAATGCCACAAACATATCTTTTAGATGTGGTTTCATTAAATTACTTATATGGGTGTGGTTTGTATAAGACCAAAGCCCTTAACATTCAAAGTAAGGCACACATTCAAATAGTACCATAATATATTGTTTTAGTATTAGAAATATTTATGATGGTCTGAAAATTTATTTTTATGTTTAATTATAAAATTTAAGATTAAAAAATAATGTAGATCGAGCAGATCTATTACCACATGAAAATCTTAAAAATTGACGGTCTAGATAATACGTTATGAGATGCATTGTTTCCCAGACTTGAGATCTATTTTTTCTCAGGTCTATACATCTTGAGGTCGAGGTAATTGAATCAAGAGTTTTTCAACATAAAAAAAACCCCTTCTAGTAAATTTTAGAGGTGCGTTTTAATTTGATTGTTTGAGGCTTCACCCTTATATAAACATTTTCCTTTTAGACGCAGGCAATCGAATCAGGTGAATCTTTGCATCATGCTTGTATTATTTTTCTGCACTATTTTTTTCCGTGTCATATTTTACTCAAACATTGGTTTCTTATCCTCTACAGTTCGATAGGTCAATTGAGTCTGCTGGTTTTATTTTCAGCCCCTATTTCACCCAGTATATTCTTCTATGCTCTTTTTTTGTTTTTTTTTTTTCTTGATTGACTTATTAATCTTGAATTTTCCCTAAATTGGACTCCAAGAGGCCAAAATCCATTCACATGCTTGATTGCATTTTTTTCCTAACCCATTCATGTGTTTGGTAGCATATTTTTCTTATAAAGTTAACAAAACAAAAGAAGTTGGAAAAAGTTTCTATAGAGCTGAGGCTCTAAGCAATCAAATTAGAGCCCACATCAAAAATTTCACCAGAAGCGGTTGTTTTGATGCCTAAATATCCTCAAATTGATCATCTCGATATCAAGATGCATGGACATAAGAAAAAAATGAATTTCAAGTTTTGGAAATAGTGCATCTTGTAATACATTTTTTGACTGTCAATTTTCAAGATTTTCAAATTTTCATAGATCTGCTTGATCTACACTATTTTTTAAGCTTTAAATTTTATAATTAAAGATAAAAACATATTTTAAGACTATCAGAAAGATTTTCAATATGAAAACCACATTTCTCAATACTATTTAAAGATACGCTTTTACTTTGATTGTTTAGAGCTTCGACTCTATACAAACTGCACCCAAAAAAATAGCATGTTTTCCTTGTGTAATCAATCTCTTAGCTTCCCACCAAAGTCTTTGGACTCTTCAACGTCAAAGGTGCTTCTTCTATGGTTCTTTTTTTTTCTCTCATCTTTTAACAAGAATCAAAGCTGCTTCTTCTACGGCGGCAATCATGTTTTTTTTTTCTCATCTTTTAACAAGAATCAAAGCTGCTTCTTCTACGGCTGCAATCTTGTTGTTTTTTTTCTCATCTTTTAACATAAATAAAAATCAAAGAAGATGCAAACTAATCAATTTTCGACACTAACAATAAAATTTAAAACACTAATAATAAAATTTAAAACTACTTGTCAAAAAAATAAAAAATAAAATTTAAAACTAAAAAAATGATACAGATCTTACATATTTATGAACACTTGTTTTTAAGGGGAAATGGACGATCTAGATAATTTGTTACAATGTACACAATTTTCAAAGATCCTAATTTTTTTTCACAACTAATATGTTCAAGCTGAGATCATCAATGCATAGGTTTTCCAATACTTATATTATAATTTTTGATGAATTATGAAATGAGGCTTTACTTATTTTTGATAGCGATGTAGTTCTATCAAACCATTTTCCTTTGTTAATTTAAGGCGGAAGGGATGATTTGAACCTATTGAAGTGGAATGCTAGTTGATTAATGGGAAAAATGCATACAAGGCATTAACCTTATATTATAGAAGTAAGGCGCAAATTAAGAATCCATAAAAAAAAAGTTGTTTCAATTAGCAATTGATCATCTCGACCTTGAGAAGTATGAATATAGAAAAAAGTATTTCGAGTATTAAGAAGAAGGAAAAAATTTATATAAGGATGCAACCTTATAACGTAGAACTACGGATGCACCTCAAAAAGCTATCGGAAAAGGTAGTTTTAATGTTGAAACCTTTTGATTGTTCATCTCCATATCGAGATGTATAACCATGAAAAATAAAAAGATTTTAAGTCTCAAAAATAGTGCATTTTACAACATATTATCTACAGTATCCATTTTCAAGATTTTCATATGTTTATAGATCTACTTGATTTTAACCATTTTTTAAATTTAAAATTTTATAATTAGATATAAAAATAGATTTTGAGATAATCCTAAAAAATTATATACCATGTTAAAATTTGAAGGTATACCTTACCTCTACAGTTATGGATGCATCTGTATGCCAACTGCACCCTAAAAAGAATGTATCCTGTAATGCATTATCTGGACTGCCTATTTTTATATTTTTAAATATTTAGATATACTCAATTTGCACTAAGGAGAGGTAGGAATAGACTACACGTTAGAGCTTGGGAAGTACTCAATTTAGCACCATTTGCGCTACAACTGCGCCTTTTAGCAAGACTTGAAAGTACACATTAATTTATTAAATTTTTATAAGTTAGAAGATAAGAAGGGTCAAGTATTCCTAATATTATGGTATCAAGAGTAGGGCTGAGAATTTGTGCGGTTTGGATATGAAACTCGAATTTTGGGATCCAAAATTTGGATCTGATGGGTCGGGTCTGAATAGTAATTCGGATTGGATTTGAGTACAAGTAGATCTGACCTAGTTATTAAAATATTATATATTATTTTATATATACATATAGTTTATATAATAATTTTTTTATATAGTATTTAATAGATATAAAATAATACATAAAATAATTTTTTCGATCTGATTGTGTTCGGATCTGCATTTAAAGCCCATGTATACTTTTTGGATCCAGATCTGAATATTTTGGATATGATAGAGTCCAAATCTGAATCCGAATCCCGTGTATACTTTTCAAATATAGACCCGATCCAACCCATTCTCAGCCCTACAAGAGACTCTACCATTCTAGAACCGTCCAAAAGTTAGAATTTTAAGTCTCTTTTCTAACCTTATCTTGTTCATAGAAGAAGAGGCTGACTAGCTTATATATTTCCCACCTTTATTATGAAGATAAAGAAAAATTTAAAAGTAGTTGTCATTCTAGACCACGTTAATTAAATGTCTTGCAAAAGTTTAAGTTAAATTACACTGCAAGCAACATTTTTGTTTTTTAGTTTGAGACAGTCAATTCATGGTGGCAAGGGCAAGAAAATAAACAACAGTAAGCAACATATTTTTGGACTGGTCAATCAGTGATCCTAAGATTTCTCTCTTAGCCGCCTTGATCTTGCATTTGGATACGGCAATCTTGAGAAATTTTGCTCAAACACATTACCTTTGGAGTTTTCTCTTTTTGACTACCAATAAATTCTTTTTAACTTCTATATTATTTTTACATCGGAAAATATATAATGGGACTATTTACTTTTGGTACAAGGTAGTCACAATTAATGTTGACCATTGGATGTGAAATTGAGTGGCTACATTTATTTCATTGACCAAGCTTAAAGTTCAAAAGAAATTTTTTAGAACTTTGTGACACACCCAAGCTACCAGATTTCAGATCGAATGGTTGTAAGCAATGGTTTAAAAAACGGATCGGTGACCCGGATCAGGCTTCCAAAAAACTGATCCGGATCGACGAATCGGCGATCCGGATCGGGAATCGAGTGAATCGGTCAGAATAAAGTTTAAAAAAAATCCGAAAAAATTATTAAAATTCATTATAAATATTGTTTTTTAGGAATTCAATAAGAAATGAGGGTACTCCATTAAGAATTTTCATGTTTTTGAATGAATATGCGAATATTGATATGTTATTTCCCTGCTTGAACCGCCATTCAGC